ATATTTAAAGAATTACAAAATTTATATCATATCTAGGGTCGAATTGAGTACGACAGGTTCAAATAAAATGGTGAGAAAATTCCATTTTATCTGAACGTCAAATCACTCGAGTAGCAACTATTTGGAGTTGTCCGTAGGCAATTTGCTTTAAGCCTTGCTTCAAGACTTAATGGTACACGTTAATGAGAGTAAATCCACTGTTTAATTGCATAATCAAAACGTCATTTAGAGGGAAATATACAGTTTTCCAAAGCGGACAATAAGCCAAGCTCAAAATCGTTTTGAGTATAATTGTTCTTGTCTTTGAAATACATGAAATATTAGAAAATGGAAATTCCGTCAACAACCCAACAATCAATCAACGTTCCTAGCAAGCTTAGAAATGTATCCGGAGCAAAGTATTATAAGATGAATTTGTCCAATGATCATACCCACATACCCATCATTCAGAATGAAGATTTACTTGAACATTTCATTCATATACCCACGTCATAACAGCAAAGTTTTATGGAAAAGGCGGTCATACCTTCTTCTGTATTGATAATTTCCATTCGTGGGTGATAAGTTTTTCTTTATTTAAAAAGTTTTTTTTAATTTGTTTGATATTGACTGTTTTAGCCTTTTAGGTACTACTTATGGCGTCACTAACAAAGTTTTAGCTCATAAACTATTACAGTAAGGTTATGAGGAGAAACGATTAAAAATATCACAGTTCTACTTCCCCTTTCAAGATTTATTTCATCGTTACAGATAAAATAAAAGAGACATGCTTATTCAGTTACGTTCGCGTGTTAACTATTATCCATGTGACATTTACCCATGTTTTGTCGTGTTCTTGGTTTGGAACTTTGGCTACTGAGTATTGTTTTGCAGCTGTATGACGGGCGATGCATGCAAAGCAGAAAACACTTCCTCTGTCGACGCACCTGTCTAACTACTTTGGAATTAATACGATTCCTATCATTATTAACTGCTTGTACCTCGATTGATAAAGGTATAATCTCTTTTTATTTTACATCGGCGGTAAAGACTTTTCTAAACGCTAGAAAGTATTCACAAAACGGTAACGTTAAGGATTTCGATATTATTGGGAGGGGATAAAGGTTATGACATGTAATCTCGTCCTTTAACTCCCACACTTAGCATAAAGTCCGAACACAGGAGTTTACATATCTATAAACTCCGTAAAATAACATTTGATATTTATAATGCAAATGAAATGCACTAAAATTTATGACAAGATATAAATTTTCACCCACACTTATTTATGAATTACGTTTATGTAGGAGTAGATAGTATTAGGTTGCCCTGACTTTTACAAATGAAATAAGACTCTAACATACAATATTGGAATTAATAATTGATATTTTTATGAGAGAATAATAAAGGCAGTTTTAACAGCCAGCTATTTTTAGTAAATTTGAATCATATTAGAAGTTATGCAGTCAACATTAAAATTATAGTCTGCTGGTTATTGCAAAATTCAAGTTTAAATTAGCTGTCCTTATCTTTTTTTAATCAAGAATACATTTGCGAAACATTCAAATTTACAAAACTTCGAGCCTTTCAAATCTCAAATTCCACCTAATTGCAAACCGTGGTCTAATCAGAGATATGAACGAGAAGACATAAAAGGTATAAGTCAACAAGACAGTAACCCAACAACACAAAAACCATATGCTATATACTTTGAGATACTTATGATTTAAAAGCTCTCTTCATTTTTACTTTATATTTTTGTGTTACTGTTTAAACAACATTAGGAAAAGGTGGGCGAAATTGATTTTTTGGCTTGCATTGTTAAATTACTGTATAAACATCCTATGGATTCAGTTCTATTCATATACTTTCTGGTTTTGATCCTCTTAAATGTTATATAAACTTGTCTTTCCAAACTTTTTGTCGCGAGCGTACCTAGATACATCATGTCATGATTGTCTTCCAAAACTTTTGGTCGCGAGCGTACCTACACGAAGATACATCATACCTTGATTGTTTTCCCAAACTTTTGGTCACGAGTCTACTTAGATACATCATGCTATGACAGTCTTCTCAAACTTTTGGCCACCGGTCTACCTAGGTACATCATGTTATGATTATCTTCTCAAATTTTGGTCGCGAGCGTACCTACATGTTGATACATCATGCCTTGGTTGTCTTCTCAAACTTTTGGTCGCGAGCATACCTAGGAACGTCTACCTAGGCACATAATGTCATGATTGTCTTTCTAAACTTTTGGTCACGAGTCTACCTATGTACATCATGTCATGGTATTTCCCCAAACGTTTGGTCACGCGTCTACCTATGTACACCATACAATGATTGTCTTCCCATCTTCCCATACTTTTGGTTACAAGTCTACCTAGGTACATCATGCCATGACTGTCTTCCCAAACATTTGGTGACAGTCTACCTTGGTACACCATTCCATGATTGTCTACCCAAACATTTGATCGCGAGCGTACCTACATGTAGATACATCATGCCTTGTTTGTCGTACCAAACTTTTGGTCGCGAGTCTACCTAGATACATAATGTCATGACATTCTTCTCAAACTTTTGGTCACGAGTCTACCTACGTACATCATGTCATGATTGTCTTCTCGAAATTTTGGTCGCGAGAGTACCTACATGTAGATGCATCATGCCTTTATTGTCTTCCCAAACTTTTGGTCACGAGTCTACCTAGGTTCATCATGTCATGATTGTCTTCTCAAACTTTTGGTCACGAGTCTACCTAGGTTCATCATGTCATGATTGTCTTCTCAAACTTTAGGTCACATGTCTACCTAGGTGCATCATGTCATGATTGTCTTCCCAAACTTTTGGTCACAAGTCTACCTAGATACATCATGTCATGATTGTCTTTTCAAACTTGTGGTCACGAGTCTCCCTATGTTCATCATGTCATGATTGTCTTCTTAAACTTTTGGTCGCGAGCGTACCTAGGTACGTCTACTTATGTTCATAATGTCATGATATTTCCCCTGACGTTTGGTCACGCGTCTACCTATGTACACCATGTCATGATTGTCTTGCAATATTTTTGGTCACAGGTCCATCTAGGTACATCATGTTATGGTTGTCTTCCCAAACTTTTGTTCACGAGTCTACCTAGGTACACCATTTCATGATTGTCTTCCCAGACTTTCGGTCGCGAGCGTACCTAGATACACCATGCCATGATTGTCTTCCCAGACTTTAAGTCACAAGTCTAACTAGGTACACCATTCCATGATTGTCTACCCAAACTTTTGGTCACTAATCTACTTAGGTACATCATGTCAGGATTGTCTTCCCAAACTTTTGGTCACGAGTCTACCTAGGTACACCATGCCATGGATGTCTTCGCAAACGTTTGGTCACGAGGTTACCTAGGTACATCAAGCCATGATTGTCTCACCAAACGTTTGGTCGCGAGCGTACATATGCCTGATAAGTTATAATTAGGAAACACGTATCATTTTTACTGCAATCAGTTCATACACAAACATATTAACACGTGTCTGCTATGTTTACGCCAATTCCTATTATTATATCTAACAACAAAATTGTATTTATCCATTTCTTTTACAAAGTATAACACTTCAGTCAAAGTCATATGCTTTTTATTTTTGAAGGCGGTGAAATAATTAATTCTTACACCTAATGTTTATCAATTAATCAACTAATTACCAGACAAACATTTGTAGGCAATTAGTTAATAAATTACGTTTACTTAGTAATGAATATCAACGCAGATATGTTTCTCTTACAATATACAAAGTCTTAATAGATTCTTTGATTCGCTGCAATGTAATTAATAATAGTTTTCCTTGGTGATTATTAATAAAACAGCTGGCGTGAGGAATGCACATCGTTCATAGTAATTCTGACGTCTGTTGTTATTTTATTATCCACTTGTATGAGTTTTTGCACGGTTTTGGGGTTACGTGAATTAATTTCATCTATAACTGTACTGTACATAATTTATTAATTTTACCTAACCGAGTTTTATTAGGTTCTTTTTTTCCTACAATGAGTTAGAATCGCACTGATGATCACAATCTAAGATCTTTGAATTCTTATCAATCTCATAACAAGTATTACTACGGGCTAAATGCCTTATTTTCAAATTAGTAGCAAATTTGAATACACAAATTAGCTGTCTTTGACTTTTGTAACAAATCTATATTTCAGTATTATACTTCTCTTGTCAGACTATATAGTCCTTTTACAAGACGTCTCATTGACGTTTATCCCAGCTCTCCTTTTATTCTCATAAATATAGTTTGTTGGTGTAATGAATTTATAAATCCATCGCTACGTCTCTGGGTTTTGGGACGCAAAAGCCGTGATTAAGCTTGTCTTGCATGTCGAATAAATCTTCCAACAATTATATTTGCAGCCAGTTTCAATATTTTAACTGTATAGAATTCAAGAGTAAAGGTTGATCAAGTGATAAGCTTAGGGTTATTTAATTGTTTTGCTGATATTTAATAACGGTCTTTTAAGTCCCTTTTGTCATATAGCTCCGCATGTTTAAGGTATTTACACATGTTGACTTTACAATGTTTGGGTTTTGGTCGTTTCTGATGAAGGTAAATCCAGAAAAGCGCTTCAGACGAATGACATATATAAAACGTTATTTTCGTTTTAATTAAATTGCCTTTTGATTTTTTGTGACATTTAGTTGTTGACCATTTGAAGTAAACCCCCTTATCCTTTCATTCACAGTTAACTAGTGTGTTTACACTTATTTTCTGTTCTTATTCTTATTTTTTTTTGTCCCACATCTGAAATGATAATTTCGTGGTAATATGTGATAAATCCTAATTTTACAATACACATCTTGACCGCAAAAAGCTTTAATCCTTTTCAATAATGTCAAGGACGCTTATTTCGACCTTCCTCCGAAACCAAGTTGAAAGTATTCCGTTAATAAGGTTATCTGACCTTTCTTATACATGTTTTAATGAATAATACAGATATATACAACAGAAAAATATTTTCTTTTTCAGGATGAAAAGAATCAGATAATGACGACGAATGTATGGCTTCGACAGGTACGTCAATAAGATATTTTACTGATATACGATGCCCTCAATAGTATTCATCGTAGTGCTGCGTGAGCCGCATAGAAAGTGTTTTAGCTATTGTCCCGTTACACCATCTGTTCAACACATATAGCCTGTTGTTGACGTATTATGTTTAAAACATTTATAAAAGAAACATCTTTTCTTTGATGTATCAACAGCCTTACAATATTTATCCACCAGTACCTGACATGATATAAACAACTGAAGGTCGTCAGTATCTGTAATCGAAACAATATTTAAAGTAAATAAAAAATACGTAAAAAACGAATAAAATATTAATCTTATCTTAATTATTACTTGAAGGCGATAGCAAATATAAGTGTTCGATAAAATTATATCATTATTGGTCTACTCTTCGATGCGTAATTCATAAAGTTGCACAATCTTTCATCCGTTTTTCATATTTTGCATCTAATTAATTTCAGTATATTTCTGCGTTTTTTGTAGTTGTAGTTGTAATTCTTGGTTATGCCTTGTTAATAGTTGTTCATAATTTTTGGATTTTCTTGTTCGTTTTCCTCGACACTTTTCTGGGTTTTTTTCCTGTTCGAAAGGGTAAAAAATACTTTATTCAGTAATTGATATTTATGCTTGTCTCTGCTGCTTACTCAAAAGGAGTGGTCCGATATTAAACTTAAATGGGAACCTAAAGAATATGGCGGTGTCAAACGTTTGTACGTGCCTTCACAGGAAATATGGCTACCGGATATAGTGTTATATAATAAGTGAGTAAAATATGTTGTTTTATAGACCACTCAGTTGACGTTGTGATTTTGTGACTGCACTCACCTATTTTTAATTGGTGCATTCGATTAATAGGTTCATCGGTTTAATTCTAAAAGAACAAAAAGGGGAGCAGTTGCAGTTTAAATATTGCAAACTTGTTTTTATTTTATTTTCAATTTACATATCTAAAAAAGATCAATCGTTGTTCTCCATTTTATTGACTTGATTTTAGTGCTAGGGTGATCTCGAATGTGCCAATTATCTTTGGTTTTTTAGCTGAGCACTGTGTTATATGTTGTGCCACTTTTCTCCATTAAGGAATGGTATGACCGAAGTCTCACGTGGAACCCATCAGAATATGATAATTTATCAGTTTTAGAGGTTCCAATTCAAGACATATGGAATCCTGATATTGTCTTATATAATAAGTAAGTATTTGCAACTATTTATAAAGACAGATGAAAACTTTCAAAGATTCATGTATTTATTTACTTCTGAATGGCATCTCAGTTTTAGTATTTTTAATGTACAATCATTCTAGTTTTTTATTTAATAGTATTCTTTTATTGCACTTAAAAAAAAAGGAAAATGTGAGTCTTATATTTATTATTTCTGATTATATACCTATATGGAGTTATTTCCTTCCAGAACCATAGGTCTTTCCTTTGAAGAAACAACCTGGACGATACCAAGTTTCAATGATATATGCTTCTAGGCATAAAATGATGACCTGTGTAAGGTCATAATTTACACTGATTACAATACAAACTACAATTAGTTAAAATCATCTAATTCATTTGTAAGTTATCGTGTGTTGTTGCAAATTGGGGTTTTACTGTACAAATTTTCATCTTTAATAGTCTTTAAAAGTTTTAGGCAGAAACAATCCTTTCCTCCGTTTATTAGACTGAAATACAAAAAAAAAAACCCAACAAAAACCAAAAACTATTGCGTTAACTCGCAATTCAACTTTCGAAACACATGATGTGAAGTTTTGTTCATTTATCGCTACAATCAAAGAACATTATGTGAGATAAATTAGATAATGCAAAACTATTCATAACTCTATTAAAACAAGCCAAATTTCATAACATTCGCGTGTATGATTAAATAAAGAGCAAAAATAGCAAATCTATTTGCTTCACACTGTATCGGAACTTTGGATGCTTGTTTTTTGTGTTTTGACAAAAGTAATACATTTTGACGGTATAAAAGTCAGATAATGCATATTTTAAGGTTTGTCGTATAACACACCTTGGGGTGTCAGGATTGCCTAAAAGAAAGAAATGTGAATTAAGATGCTTCACATTCTTAGATTAAATTAAATTAAATTCTTGAATAATAAGATATAACTTTACTCAAATATCTTTGATATGATTGTTCTTGTATTAATTGTATTACCTATTTTTCAGGTTAGACTATTTTATCATGAATAGAAAGCACAAGGCAATTCTCGTCAGTCCTTTTTCTCTGAAATTCCTTAGATTTCTATTTGAATCAACTAAAAGGAATTTCATTGAAAACTTATTTTTATTTAGTTGAACCACTGTTTTGTTATGACCCTTATATCTATGATCTTACGCTCATACATTGGATTGGGAAGATTCTGTTATTTGTACTTATTTTGGCTACCTTTAGAAATAAAATCCAAGACTTTATGTAATTCGAAATCATTAAAGAATACATGAATGGCTAGCTCCACTTGCATAAATTATTTAAGGACCACGAAAGTATTAAATGAATCATTGGCTTTTCAGTGCAGATGGTAATTATGAGGTCACGCTTATGACTAAAGCAACACTTCATCCGGACGGAAAAGTAGTTTGGGAACCACCAGCAATTTATAAAAGCTCATGTATAATCGACGTAGAGTTCTTCCCCTTTGATGTCCAAACTTGTGACATGAGATTTGGTTCATGGACTTACGATGGAAACCAAGTGGACTTAATTCATATCTGTTCAAAAGACGAATCCTCCACAGCTGAAATAGAAAAAGGTGTTGATATGAGACAATTTTATCAAAGCGTAGAATGGGATATTTTAGAAACTACTGCAAAGAAAAACTATAGAGATGATGTGTGTTGTGCAGAACCGGATATTACGTTTAATATAACCATGCGTAGAAAGACACTATTCCACACAGTTACCCTTATTATTCCTTGTGTTGCCATTTCTTTCCTAACCGTTTTAGTTTTTTATTTACCATCGGATAGTGGCGAGAAAATTACCTTGTGCATTTCTATTCTCCTTTCATTAACTGTGTTTTTTCTTCTTTTGGCCGAGATTATTCCACCGTCCATAGTAGTACCATTAATAGGGAAATATTTATTATTTACCATGATTTTAGTAACTTTATCTATTCTTGTGACTGTTATTGTTTTGAATGTTCACTTCCGGTCTCCATATACACATACAATGGCGCCTTGGGTTAGGCGTTTATTTCTTGGTATATTACCAAGACTCTTGTATATGAGGCGTCCAAGACCAGACAAAGAATTAAAAACTGATAAACCAAAGCATTGTAATGGCCTGCCTCCAAGTAAAACATGCAGAGAAATATTACAACATAACTTTAACCTACAAAGAGGATTCTTACAAGCAAGCAGAGAAGCTGTTTCGAGCGACGAATCTGGATTACACTTTCGTCGACCAGTTCCACAAGCTGTTAGGGATGCTGTAGAGAGTGTTTGTTTCATCGCTGACCATCTGAAGAAATCAGACAGAGAAAACTCGGTAAGTGTTGAAATTATTTGTTAGGAATGTGTTTATCTGTAAATATCCATAAAACAAATCACAGGCGAGAAATTGGGAGTTAACAGATGGTTAACTCATAAATCTATTTAGAACATAAAAATCTAGTTAAAAAAACCGAGGGTTTCACAGAAACTTCATGAGGTGTCTGGTTTTTTATAAGGTTTTGTTTGGATTCTAAGGTATGTAAGTACAAAAAAACAGGTCGGTCGTTAGGGTGCACGATTAATACCAATTGGATTTCCGACTAGCCCTAACTCGACAATGATATTTTTTTATTACGAATCCTCATTGGTTTACAACAGTAGGATCAGTTGTTGTTTCAATCACATTTTCTAAAACGAATTATAAGGTTACCATGAACAAGATCTATAACACTTTCATTTTCACACTTCTTTTCAAGATCAACAGAACGGTATGATTAAACTGATTATCAATCAGAAACTATCATCTTTGAAGCGTTTCTTCAAATTAAAGATAAAAAAGTGATAATTAGGGCTAGACATCAATATTTTGCCTACAAAACAACACATTTATCAAGTGTATAAAACAACAGCTACGTCAGGGTCATCAATGACGAATAAGCTCTAACTCCGTTAGAAACTGTTAATAGATTGATACAAACGACGACGATGTAACAGCAAAATTGAAATAGGAAAGCATATGAAAACAAAACGATAACCAAAGAAGAGATCCAGACTTGTAATTTTGAATTTATGGATTGATTGGAAAGGTTTTGTTTATCAGGATGACTATATGATATTAAAACAGAGAAGGATTTATCGTCATTGCAAATAAAAAAGTATAATGACATGAAAACAATACATCTGGAATAACATTTCTCTATTATGTAATTCTTTTAATGCATGTTTCCCCCTTTATTCGAGTAAAACGCTATTAAGTAGAACGGTGATTGTAGAACATGTATACCGATGATTACATTTCATTTTATCAATTACCTTATTGGTGTAGTTTCCTGGATTAAAATTACACACGTTCTTGTGATATCATTATAATGTAGATAATGGTGCTTTTTCTTGCATGTTGTTTCAACTTGTACTATTGCATAATACTATATGTCAACGGCATTGCTGGAGGATATATGTCACTACTCAAGAAGGGGAAGTTAACCATAGGGAAAACGAAACCAAATACATGTGGACAATTAAACTAAAGTTAAAAAAATCAAAAACTTACCTACTTGTACCGAGTGTTGATTTGTTGATTTGATATCAATATCAAAGCGTACAAATACTATAACTATTCCTAACCTGTTAAAGCAATATTTGAAGGTCTTTTTAAACCATTATCAGTAGGTTAATTTATAAAACTACTGTTGACGTCGTTAACTTATTGATCCTTTGTACTAACTTATTCTGAAAAGTTATCAATTTTAAACTAGTAAAATAAGGCGACAGTAGTCAACCGATGTTCAGATCTTTTATATCAGTTAAGAAGTTTAATCAAGGTAACAATACAAAACTGGGGGAATCGTATGAACTCCAAAATGAGCGCGACCGGGCGCCTCGACATTGTGGATATACTTATGATATAGTTATTTCTTTGAATATAGTATTCATCGGTATACATTGATTTTGTTTTTAAGAAATTAAAACATTACTAAAAATGTAGGGCTAAACAGTTATGTGCACTTTTGGTACTAGATCCTGTTGATACTTATATTTTGGCGTTGCGCAAGACCATGCTTTTGTCGGACTATTAATGACGTCTTTGCACTTAATCTATTGGATGTGTACTGATTGGTTCCTAAGTCTTGGAAGCATGAATTATTTATTTATTGTAATTATCTTTGACCTAGCTTTCTGAAACTGCGAGTACTCTTAGATTTTTATGACCCCGCAATAAAGTTGTCGGGGCCATATAGTTTTACCCTTGTCCGTCATTCTGTCATTCTGTCATTCCGTTATTCCGTCATTCCGCAACAAACCATTATACGGACCTTTTTTCTAAACGCCTGCAGATATTGGGCTGATTTTTGGATGTGAGTTAACCCTGATGAGTGAGAGATCAAGTTTAAGTTTCGTTCCGCTCCGCTAATTTTGCCGAAATTACGGGCTTTGGAATTTGATAAATTGTTGAAAATCACAGTTATACGGACTTTTTTTCTAAACGCCTTTAGATATTGGGCTGATTTTTGGTATGTGAGTTAACCATGATGAGTTACAGATCAAATTAAAGTTTAGTTCCGCTCCGCTGATTTTGGTCAAATTAAAGTTTAGTTCCGCTCCGCTGATTTTGGTCAAATTAAAGTTTAGTTCCGCTCCGCTGATTTTTGCCAAAATTAAGGGCTTTTGACTTTGATAAATTGTTGAAAATCACAGTTATACGGACTTTTTTTCTAAACGCCTTTAGATATTGGGCTAATTTTTGGTATGCAAGTTAACCATGATGAGTTACAGATCAAGTTTAAGTTTATTTCTGCTCCGCCGATTTTGGCCGAAATTAAGGGTTTTGAAAATTGTTGAAAATCACAGTTATACGGACTTTTTTTCTATACGCCTTCAGATTTTGCGCTGATTTTTGATATGTGAGACTGCCATGATGAGGTACAGATCAAGTTTATGTTTCGTTCCGCTTTGCTGATTTTCATGTCGTTTCAACACATCTTGTTAGATCTGCAGTACATCCACTTCCTGTTTGCTGATAGTTTGAAATTTAATTACTCATTGATCAAGGAAATTTTTCATCAAACTAGTATTGGTCTTGAGAGCTTGATACTATCCATGCATGTTTGTGTCCACATGTGTTGTTGAAATTGCAGATTTTCCAACTTTTTGAGACGGGGCCATTCGTGTCGTTCTGACACATCTGTTTTTTTTTTTTTTTTTTTTTTATTTTTGTTAAGGTTTTTAGTGCATACTGTCGATATGATGAGTCAAATCCAAGGCTTTGTTAGCTGATTTCTTATAAGTTGGTTCTTCGGTCGTGCTGTTACGCCACTGTCCCACGTTAGGGAGAATGTTGAAGGATCTCGACATGTTCATCTCCGCATCATTATTTATGTGCATGTCTAATGCCAGGAACCTGCAATTCCGTTGTTGTTCTTGGTAGCTGTCTTTATAAGTTTTGTGCTTGTTGTTTTTACCATAAATCAAGCCATTGAGTTTCTCTTTTGGATTGTTTCAGATTTTGTCATGCCGGGACCTTTGATAGCGTTCTTTACGATATGAAATTTTTTGAATGTCATACGGTGCCCTTAAGTTGTTAACATACTCGTCCTTTGTTCTCTGTTAGATAATTTTCTCATTGACAAGCATACCATGTCTTTGTTTAACAAGGTGTAACCAACCATTTTCTTCGGGAAATGCCTATACCAAGTAAGGAATATGACAGTTGTTTTTCACTCGTCTCTTCATATATATATATATATATATATATATGTATATCACATGAACAAAAATCTTAAATGAATGTTTTAAGTTATTCCTTACATTTTTAGGGAGGTGTCAAAATCTTTTCGTAACAAATAATATTTTGTAGATAATGGGATCGGAACATAAGTATTTCCGATAAGAGTATTTATGATGAGTCTTACGACATTAAAAGTTAACAAAAAACAAATGCAATAATAATCTCATTCCTTACCATAGTTAATCGTCAAGTGTGAAAGAGGTAGCCAGCCGTTTACGCCTGAATTTATTCCACAACACGATCATATCCAAAAAAATCATTAAAATTTTACTCAACTTCGTAGTAACACAGCCTAATGAGTGTACTTTTAGGTTTTATCAACATTATGGATCATCAAATTATAATCACATAAGATAGCCAAAGACAGCGGTTTTAACAAATATTGGTAATTTTTGTGTACTTGTCTCCAAATGTGATAAGAAGGACATCGTTAGCAAATCTAAAATCCTGTTTGAAGTAAAGCTATGTATTGTCATTCAAATACACATGTATTCATTTTAGTTTGCGACGTCATTCAACTTCAACATGTAATACTTGAATAGCAAATTTGATCATATTGAAATATCTAAGATTGTTTTAAATATGTTTTAAGAATATGACGTAGACTCTTTAATTTCAACTATTAGGTGTATTAGGGGAAATAGACCCTTTATCGTTGGATTTGTTTTTGGAACATCCGTTACCTTAGTAATTTTAGGGCAAATTTGATATCACGTTTGGTAACTTTTGCATTATGGTCAAATATGAGTTTATCCTGCCTGCGGCTTTTAATTTTCAACTTTAACACTTTTTCAGTAAACGGATGTTGTTTTAAAAGAAATTAAAGGCTGTAGTAATAAAAATTAAGGATTTTGCTAAGTTATCACGTTAGACTTACGTTCGTTAAATGGCAAGACGGAATTTTGAATTAAAGACAAGCTGTGAAAAATCTAAAGGAAAACAAATCTGCATTGTCATTTTAAAAGAAGATTAGAATTTAGCTATTTCCGACTTTATTTTGTCAGTAAATATTTTCAATATTTGTAAAAACAGTTTGAACATGCCTTTAAATCTTAAAATTCATATGATCTTGGAATTTCATATTTTTAAGCTGAACAAGACAAACTCTTTCTTATTACATTAACATTTAGATAAAAATCAAATGCAACCACTTACAAGGTTCCTGATTTGTGAGGCATGTAAACATGTGCCTTGGTTCAATTATTATTTTTTAACCCAATTCTACTCAGGTAATGGAAGAAAAAAGTACAGAAAGGACCAAACAATTAAAACTGATTTTTATAAAGTGCTCATTTCACTAATTTTAAGAAAAGACACATAAATGGACGGTACGAACGAAACAAAAATCAAAACCTGCAGTTAAAGTGTTGTTGACTCTTGACGTTAATTCCTATTGTAATGCTGATTGTGTCAGCCAATATTATATATTTGGGGACAAATGACCATAATTGAATGATGTCTGTAGTGATGGAACTACTGCTTAAGATAGCATTGTTTATCAAGAAAATCGCACGCATTTTTCATTTGCAACCTAGAATCTGTAATGCTTTCAGAAATATAGACGCCGCTGAGCTTGCTTCATATAAATCGTTTATCAAACAGAGGGACCAAAGATAATAATTGCACTAGCAGTAATTCTACATAATTTGCATGTATATGACAACTATTTCTGTACTGGAAAATAAAGATGACTTTGGTTATAATAAAACATTCAATATTATAAGATTTCCGATAATAACCCTTGTATGAAAAAGGAACATAGTGTCGTGATTATTTTGACTTAATAATACATCTACAGACCTTTTTCCATTAGTTTTATTTATATGATTCAGTACGACAAATGATGGTATTTCATACCAAAGATAAAATTGTCCGATGTCTATAAAACAACAACTGCTGTTATCACTTTATGACAAAAGATCGGCCGTTAAAGTGTATTTATTTATATAGAATACTAATAATCAATCCTAATGGGTCCTCTACCTCTGTAAAAACTCATCAATGATACCAGGCTTTTAATTTGGTACATTCAAATAAAAACGGTTAGAATGCCAAATCAGATACGGATATAAAAAGCATTAAAAATACAAATTCGAAAAGTTGTGCCAAAAACGACTAAGGCAATCTATATATGGTGTTAGCAAAACCTTAGCGTTTTGAATAACTCAACAATTTAATAAACAATAAATTAACAGAAAATTGTAAAACCTTGGTGCCTTCATTTCTTGTTAACCCCTTTAGCATAGATTTTAATGAACAAATTAACAAAATGTTTTACCATGAGAACTAAACTCTATGCTGGGTTGTTTTATTAAGTTAACGCTGACATGTTTGTCGTGTAATCTCCAATATGAAATTTGTCATGCATAATCAATTTTTAACTTGGAGTTTCAGAAATTGTGTTATGATTTTTTGTTCATCAATGGGAACAATTATGGCAACGACGTTTGACTGACACAAGAAATGTGTGTGAGTAGATGGATTGGGTCTGCATTCATAGTATTTTGTAGAGCTTACAATGTATAACTCTTTTTGACAATGTTGAAATGGTTCGTTAACGCAATGAGAATGTTTAAATCTTCTAACTTTTTGCTCTATATTCAATGTAAGGGAGTTGAGTATTACAACTTAGAATTCTTGGATGTATCATGTTGTGACTATTTCTCAATATATGTTGCAAAAGCAGTTCCAAGCTCATTCTCTTATATCCTAAATCCATAAAAGGAATTGGGTTCGTAAGGTATTTCCATGTGTTGATATTCCACTGTACAATGTTGCTTATATATTAAGTTGTATGGCGTTTTATAGGTTTGACGTTCAGATTAAGCGGGAGGTTAATATGAAAATAAAAGAATCTACATCAGATTGAACTTTCTAAAACAAAATAGGATAGGTATGTTACTTGTGAGGTCCTGATAGTTTTGTAACCTGTACGGATCAAAATCATCAGAATACTCAGTTAGATTCACAGATGCCCTTAAATATCAGCTGCTGATCACAATAAAGAGCCGCTTTGAACGAAAGATCTGCGTCATATGTTAATCTTTCCTCGATATTGACACAGTTGGGCGACTTCAAACTAGAATCTATGACGTATGTTATGATTTAAATATTCCACTCGTCATGTTCCCACTTCTCTACAATAATATACCCTCTGTCCCATCGTATGACGTTTACATATATTAATTGATATGATGCGCTCGTGCATATTCTTGAAGGGATGTACTAGTACTCCTTACACAAAAACTGCTCCAACGGAGTTATGAGGGACAACCACTGAAGAAGACACCACCACGAATCGGTTGACCGATACGATATATCTGCATCTCAACTCATCAGCTACATAAGTTTGAAGTCTTAGCTCTTTCGATACCAGAATATACGTTTAATCTGTAATTCTACCGACTGTGTACCCGGTCTCACTCCTTTTGGAGTTAATATGCGCTTTCCACAGTTATGTTTTGTACCTTGATTTGTCTTCTTAATCGATTTATGAGATTTGAACATCGGTTAACTACTGTTGCCTTAATTTACCCTTATGTTGAAAAAGACCTTGTAATTTGAATATCGTTTTGTTATCAGTAGTGAATTATCTATTCCAAAACATTTGGTTTGGCGTTTTTCAATATGACCGTGATAACGTTGTGTCAAACTTAGAACTGGATTTTCCTGAAAGTTGTACAGTACTAAAAAAAAAATATGAATAATTCAGTAAATAACGGAACATTTTAGCTACAAAATGGTATAGATGTTGACGCGAAGAATTACAATACAACAAAATGAGATCATTTTTGTTTTATTTTGCCTTAAAACTGTATACCATACATATGTATACCTATAAACGTACCAGGATTAATGCAATTTACTAAGTAGATTTTATATTAATATTCTAGCAGATATTACCGCATTTGATTCTCACCTATCAAATTGTCAAACATACGGGAATTGTTTTGGTATTCACTGCTCTTCGACGTCGTTATTGATTCGGCACTCCAACTGTTTTGATTCGAACACCACTGATGAATAATTTGTAGTCGAAACGCGCGTCAAGTGTTATAAAATTATTAGCTTGGTAACTTCTTTTTTTTTAAATATCAATTGAAAAACAGTAACAGAGATAGGTCTTATAAATTTAAAAGACTTATCGTCAGTCTTTAGATGTTTAGTTCGCAACAATATTGTTCCAAAATTATGCATTAAGTATTACAAACGTACCATTTCAGATAAAAGAAGATTGGAAATATGTTGCCATGGTGATCGATAGACTATTTTTGTGGATATTTACTACTGCTTGTGTTGTTGGAACTTTTGGTATCATACTTCAAGCACCAACAATATACAGTGACGTACAGGCGATAACACCATTAGATCTGGCCGATGCCAGCTGTCTGGTTAACATGCAAACCTAGACATTATGAAAGCTAGTTAAAACTAGTTGTCTCTTTAATATGCAGCATTAAAAGGTATGGGATTCTTCTCACGTTATGGCGATTAAGAAGCACCTTAACATTTTATAGAGACATCGAATTTAGAGATATCCTACTGGTACAAAAGAAAGACCTAATCTGAAGGTATATCAGTGATAAAGTACTTTGTGTCTAGCGACCAAAATATTATTTTGCTATCATGAATGTTCATACAGAAATAAACTAAAAGCTAAAACATAGATAGAATATAAAACAATTTCACAAACAAATCGTGTTTCTAAATGAACATTTGGAAAATAAATTGCAAAGCTAATTGTATCAATATGGACCTTAAAGAACTACCATTTACAGCAAAACTGTTTGTTTTTTCTTCGTTAAATGAGCAAACATGTGAAATGCTTTTATGAGTTTTCAATTATTTAGATATGATTTGAAATTCTGGAATATATCCGGAAATGTTTGTATGACATCAAAAGGATTTTCTAAATTTTGAAAATGTTAAAAACACAATTGTCAATTATTTAAAATCAAAATTTTACTCAAGCAAATTATATGTTCATAAGTAATACCACTCAACAGAGCCAGCATTTTAATAGAAGAACTCGGAACCAGAAGTAGCATGTTCCGATGGCTGCATACAAAATTATATGATGGCAATGTCAGAAAATGTGTCACTCCAACAAAAACAATAGAAATAGCAACCAACGCCTTCTAAAGTTTTGTTATCAGAAACAATATAACATAGAACAAGTCAAGAACTAGAGTATAAGGAAATTTTGGGTACACATCAGTAAGGCAATATCCCATCAACAATTGAAATATCCAGCGGTTTACATCATATCTAAGACAATGGACAAGTGTAGAAAATCTTAAAGATATATTATAGACAGCAAAATTAAAAGTTTAAAGCATACAACAGCAGAAAAGAAAAAAGTTATATCAATCTAGTCGTATTCCAAAGAATAAAGAGGTGAGATGACATTTATCAACTAAAAAATATGACACGATGATTTTAGATTTAAATTATATTTCTTGTTTGAAATTTTATGTTTTAAGGAAACGTACACCTATTTGCTTTTTAATAATAATGCCACATACAGCTTTGTTCGAAATACTTGTACCACATTTCATGAAAATTTTGAGAGGGAAATCAAATTCCAATTAGAACATTAAATCTGAAAAAAGTATTAAAAATTTAACGCAATGGTCAATACTAAAATAAAGAAAGAGAAAAAAACAATAGCCCATAGCCACATTTTTATACACTACACGGAAAACTAAAAACTGTTTTATACTCTTTGGTCGGGTTTATTTTCTCTTCGACACATTCCCCGTTTCAGTTCTCTATTATATAACTCCGTTAGATGCTCCACTAGTGACCCCTGTTACGTTACTCATGTATGTAATCCGATGACTAAACGTAGGTATATTAGTATCGTGTCATAGGGGAGTTGTAAATGTCTTTGTTCCAATCCTAAGACATAGCCATACTCATTGACCAGTGATATATATAAACCTTTAACATAAAACGAATGTTAAAAATTGAAAGAAAATATGGACATCAGGACTAATATTAGGTCAGATCATGACAAATAAAACATCGCAGGCTATTAAAAAGTTTAAAAGGTGCAACTCTAGGAGAAACCATGCATCTGGAAAGGACTATCAGTTCCTATTCCACGAGTAGCACCCGTCTTGGTATTCATAACAAAATACGGAAAATGAATCGCATGTGGGTATGTGTGATACAAAAATAAAGGAGTACGGAATAGTGACTAAGTGAACATATCCATGATTTACTGTTACACGTATTTACTTTATTTTTCAGTCAAGTGATGGTGTCAATACATTGTTTTAGTATAATACTTCAATCGTTCCATGAAATCCTTTGGAAAACATTTTGTTAAAACAGCCAACCTTTATTAAAGAAACACTTGATTTTGAGAAAAGACTGTTAGAATCGGAGTGACTCTATACAGAGTATGATTTGGCTCTTCCTTAATAAGCTTTTTACACCTACGTTGTGGTACCATTTCTTGTAATTTGTCTTTAAGTTCGATTTTGAAAAATATGTGTAAATGATGGAGAAGTCAAATCTTTGAATTATGCCTCGTTATGACAGGGATTGTGATTGTATATAGATTTAGGTGATTCTTAAGCTCGGGTCACATGTATACCAAAGGGAAAACATGTTTTATTTAATAGTTTTATTGGCTTTAAACTAGCTTTCAGCGAGTACCCTTACATTGGTGCTTTGTGTCTATTCAATTGTTTTATGGTAGTTGTGTTTGTGCTTCGTACCCATCTATTGAGTTAAGTCTTTTGTAACTGATTTTTATAGTTTGTTCTTATGTTGTGCTTTTACACCACTATCCCAGATTAGGAGAGGGTTGAGAGTTAACAACCATATTCATCCGTGGTTCATTCTTCGCGTGGCTGGTCCAAATCAGAAGAATGTAATTCAGTGGTTGTCGTTAATTCATGTCTGTAATTTTTGTTTTTCGTTAATTGTATTGTTATAAATTAGGCCGTTAGTTTTCTCCTTTGAAGTGTTTCATATTTTTTGTATCGGGACCTTTTATATCTTACTATACGGTATGGGCATTTTGCATTGTTGAAGGCCGTACGGGGACTTATTGTTGCGTAAATCCTCGTCATTTGATCTGTGGCGAACAGTTGTATCATTTGCAATCATACCCCATCATAAGAATAGAATAGATGTTTATCTTTTTTTTTTAATGTGTGGAGCATCTGGAATACCAATCATTGTAATATTGTTTTCGGTTTTAATTTATATTGGTTATCCAGTTATGCGACGGACACTTCACATCTATAAATGGTTGATACATTTGATGAATACCACAGTTGATTTTGTGTTGAATAACTTGCTTTTAATTATGTTTTCCATGATTAACCGGGAAAGCTTTTCATTTATGTGCACTATATAAATATGAAACCAATTCACTTGTACATGACACGAGTCTTTGGAATAACCCTCACCTGGATTTTAGGTATTCACAAACAAAACGATTTCTATCTTTACATATTCCACCTAGTTACATGAACAACTCTGCTACAATAGTTAAGACGACTAAATCGCCTTCTTTAAAGAAAAAAGGTAAAATATTCCTAGCTTTAATATTTACGTGTTTAGCCCTTCTAATTGGATTCAGTAAATTTGATAATGATTTTGATATCGCTTTACAAAACTAATTCAAAGTGTTTGATGACATTCATCTTGGGAAGGCATATCATTTTGGGTGAGAACCGAATTTTTTGTTATTTTTTTCTTTACATGTCATGATTTAGAATTATTTTTTAAACTTAGTCTAGACACTCTCTCAACATTTTTTTCTTGTCCTGTTTCCTCATTTTCTTACTTTATTACCAGTTCTTCCGTGTTTGGCATATGACTAAAACGTCTTCCGGCAGTTATACTGTTATTTTGCCTACCTTTCTTTTCATATTGGTTTAGTATGTCTTATTGGATTTACTCGGTTTCTTATTTGCTCATAATCTTTATATGTCTTGTCATCTCTGTTCTATATTTCTATATTTTGTTCCTTATCTTCAATATTTTAATTCCCTAAACAGTTTACTAATGTAATATATATTAGTCAGTAAGTAATGTCTATCATATAAAATCATTAGCTACCTAGTGTAACTTCCCATTAAGTAGAAATCTTTTTATTGGTATTAATTAATTTTCTGAATGGACACATTGCGTGAAGGTTTGTGATATCAGCAAATAACATTACATTTTTATGCAAAGTCAGATTTGATTAAAACATAAATTGTTCCTTATATTATTATTTTTTTCAATAAAACCTTCACCAAATTTGACACACGCAATACAACCTGATTTGCATATGTATGTCACACATTGTTTTCACTAATTAAAGTTTAAAAGTTAATGTCATTTTACATAAAAACATAAAATAGAAACAATTGGTAAAATTGTATCTGGTGGCATCTTCCTCTTCACACTACGTGGTGTTATTTAGTATTAAATCGTCTGTCAATTCCAATGCTTCCAATTTTAATGCACCTAGAAGAAAGATTTTTAAACTGAAATGATAATTTCAAATTGAAACATTCTCAAATGACAAGCACAAATCTTGTTATTAATATGAAATTTAAGACATACCTTATGCGGTTAATTCAGTGCTGGTCTGCCCCATCCATGTCTTGTGCTCATAGAAGATATGTTTAGTATATATTGTAATATGCAGTAGCTGTTATTTTTAGGGTTTGAATGGATTGAATCCAGCTAAGAAAAATATATTTGGTTAAGCATAAAATACATGAATAGTTACTGTACTGAATTTAACACTCGAAAATGTCTAAGAAGTTCAACTCTACAACAAAACATCACAGTTTTATTTCAAGACATCCAGATGATGTCATAATAAAAAATAGCTGTCTTATACAAACGAAATATTTGAAACAGATTTTGTTTGGAAGAGGGGAGTTTTAAAAAAATGATCAGATACTAGGTCTTTAATTTGGTACAGTAGACGCGTGTTTCATCTATATTTTTGTCAATATAACGGAGCTATTAACAACTGTCATACAAGTGGGAGATTGTTGTGCTATCTGGCTACGGTAATTTGTGTGTATTTTTTCATTTTGTTATATTTTTTCTGGTGGAAAGTTGGTTCATTGGCAATATACCACTTCTAATTTTTATTAAAGATCAATAATATTACATGTGTATTTTTGTTTTTAAGTACCTCATTCGAACCCTTGTAATGTGTACTGCACAAACCTATTTCATTTAGAAATTCCCTCTAATATAAACCTATTCAGACTGAAGTCATTTATTTTCACATAACACTGCACATTCGTGACGAATGTAGTTTATTACTTTAATCAGGGTGAATTTAATGGTACATTTTCAACTTAATTAAATACTTTTTAGTTGAATAATACACGTTAGACCTCAGAACCTTTCTTTAATTTTGTATGTCTTAGAAAAACACCAATTCCAGTTGATTATTGTTGAAAGAAGCAATCCCAGACAAGAAGTTTGCTTGTTTGCTCAAACGTTCTTTTGAATAATCGATACCGGTATGTCCTTACTTGATTTTTTAAATATGCATTTAATATAACATGTTAATTCATTTATCATTAAAGTAATAACAAGCTGTATAAATCAATTTAAAAATGTTTATATTAGAGGCAACAGTAGTTTATCGATGTTCAAATCTTATAAACGCATTCAGAGATATATTTCCAGCAAGGATCAAATAAGGTAACCGTCTTGGTGGTCTCGTGGTAGCCTCGCGTGCGGCTGGTTGGGAGTTCAATCAAAGGCCGGGTCACACCAAAAACGCAAAAAAATTAATATCTGATG